TTAACTCATTGATTTCTTTTAAATTGAGAACGTGTTTTATTAGTTACTTAAACTAATAAAGTTTTTGATTATTGATACTTAAAAACCTAAATTTGGTTTTTTTTTCTTATCTATATAATAAAATATATTTAGAATTCGGCTGCTCATTTCTGACCCAGTGTTCAACTTTTTGTAGTTTTTCTACTTGTTTCTCTCTTGCTCTCTCTAAACATTGATAACATTAATTAGATTTGTCAACTAAAGTATTAAATAAGAAAAATTGGTTCATCGAAGAGTTCTCTTTTCGGCGAATTCATTTTCAGAGCTGTACAATCCACAAATATATACTTATTTTTCAGGATGATAATTACAATAATAATGATAATAAACTTCTGTTAGACATAGTAACATTGAGGTAGAATAAACAAAGGTATTCAACATTTTTCTTTAGATAAACAGGGAAACTAATAATATTTTGACTGTTAAGGACTTAAATATTCATAAAGATAGATAAGGAAATCATCATTGAGAAAGGATGGCTCAGCAGGATAAGATAAAATGTTGAGATTGAGATGAAATGTAATCGAGAGGATCATAAAAACAGAAATAAACCAGTTGGGGGTAGAAGGTTTAAGGAGAAGATTAGTCTGAAAAAAATTATAAGACATTATGACCATGATAGAAGAATTCTGGTTTTCCCAGATGTATAGCTATTGCTTTTGCAATGTTAAGAAGATGCAATATGAATCCCTTTGGAAGACTTCTATTCACCTCGTAGATGACTTTGAACGCAGAGTCTGTCTTGATTGAGTGACCTGTGTTCACAAGGTGTTCGATTATTAATATTCTTATTGAATCGTTTCCGCCTCTTCTTAGCCACGCCGGGTAATGTTCTTGAATTCTTTTGAATAAATTACTCATCAAATGACCTATATATCTGGCTCCCCATGTGCAAGTAAATTGGTAAATGAACATTGAGTTCGTCAGATGAGATAATTTATCTTTACGATTTTTGATGAACAATGATCGGCCAGAGAATACTATTCACAACATTGCTGCGAAAAACGTTCTTTTTGAAGAATCAGAAATTCTCCTCTTTAAGACGTTTGTAGCTCTATCACCCTTAACGTCAGTGTTCATGTATAATGTTTTCTTTTCGACTGAAGTTATATGTTTTAGGCGGTTTCGGTTTTATGTTCTTATCAGTGAATATTGAAGGATACCCGTTTTTGATAAGTATTTCCTTCAAGAGGCCCAGTTCTCCATCTAGTTCCGAGGTCTTAGATGAAGAACTGGGCCTCTTGAAGGAAATATTATTTACTTATTTATTTAAACACATAAACATGGGTACAAAAATGCACTAAACAGATATATGCCACGTAAATCATTCGATTTGTGTGAGGCCTGGGTGCCCAAAGCGAAGCACGCTTGAAGGAAATACTTATCAAAAAGCAGGTATCCTTCAATATTCATTAATAAAAACTTAAAACCGAAACCGTCTAAAACATAACTTCAGTCGAAAAGATATGGTTGCTCCTTTGTACTATTTAAACTTGGATTAATTCTGATATGGTTATTTGTTCTCTGGAGAAGCGGCTTACATTGGATCACGAAACGTCAGAAAATATAACTTTCTACTCATTGGGATATTACAAATATATTATTTTATGTATAACAATCTACCCAATGCTCAATTTATTCGACGTTTCTTACTTAGTGTCTCAATGGGTGTATTCTTTTAACTTAAGTATTCAGCGGAAATTATCAAAGTATATATCTCTCTCTTTACGATCTAACCAACAATAAAATCAGTTCTAATCAGATAAGATTTTATGGTCAATTACAATTTGTTTAGACGTATTTGTCATTGTGATCAAATTGTCCACGAGTTGATCATTAGGGAGTTAATGAATACAAAATAGTGTTTTATTAAAAAGTTATCTAGTTACTTTTTCAGTATTGATCTGATCAATTTATTTGCATGATAGCTTGTTTCTGTGAGTTGGTTAATTAATGAGTTGTTTCATTGGAAACATCATGATAGTTATTGGCATACATGTGTGTGCAGGTTTGCAATAATTTATTACTTCCTACTGTCATGTTTATAAAATGGTCAAATTTTTTATCATATAAACCAGTGCAGTCCTGAAGAATGTTTTTCATACGTTATTCTAATCAATGTATGGGTATGCGTATGTTCCAATCATTACAAAGTTAGCCTACACGTTAATTATTTGTTTATATGTTCTTTCTGCGACACAAATACTGTTAGACAATAGATAAAACACGCTTCGTCAATCTCCAATTTGTTCATTTTTAAATTGGATTTTCTTTTTTTTAGATAGATTAGTAAACCTGTCTCATTATTTGCTTGGTACTCAGTACATGTCTACTGTTGAAAATAAATCAGTGCGAATTCAATCAATAAACGTCGTAATCCTTGTTTTACAGAAGCTAAATACAAATGTATTGCTTCAAAGTTATATTGAAATTGAACAAACTCAGATAACTGTTATCTTTTTTATTCATTCATAACAGGAATTTCCATTATTTTCTTGTTCTTATGATAACCACACACTGACTCTCTTCATTATCAACAAGACAGTTTCTTTTCATCCTTCAAAACAACAGGATATTGGGTTGCATATATCACTTTAGATAATCTATTCTTGTCATCGAAATCCACGTCTTATAGCGCTAAATTCAACAACTGTCTACTAAATAAATTATCCATTTTTTTAGATTAATATTACTTTAAGTTCAGTTGTATAGGATCTTTTTTTATCATTTATTATTATATTCACTCATCATTCCTTTTTTGCTTTTGGTTTTGCAGATATGAAAGAACTTTAATAATCTGATGAACATCGTTGCGCCAGCTCTCAGTTGTGTAGACTGTTCCAGAATATGTGATCTTTTCTTTTTTTATGGAACTCTTTTCATTTGTGTAATAAACCGTTTTAATTTATATTCATGTGTAAATTTGATGGAAATGTTTATTAAGATCGGGGCTAAACAATGTATGCACGTATACTGAATTGTCGTATTGTTAAACTCAATTTATAGTGTGTAATATTATGAATTTTTTAGTCTTTATTTTTTACGTGAAAAAATTTTGCTTTTCTTATTATCTTTGCTTGTTTTTTTGCCTAGTGTATACTAATGATAGAAAAACTTGCTCGATTGAAACAATTAAACATCACCCCAATGACTAGCTATCCAACATTCACTTCTCATTTAGCGATAATTTGGAATTTCGTATTTGTCCGATAAGAATGCGATGTTTGTTGTCCACAAGGATAACTTGCGCCGTCTAATACTTGTTAAAGTGCCCTATCAAGAATGAGGTTTCTAAGTCTCAGAGCAATATGTGGGGTAGCTGGCTACGACTAAAATTCATAAAAATTTCCAGAATAAAGTGGCATGTCGTTGTATTTGGTACGGTATTGCGAATTAATCCTTGTGATATGATAGCAAGTTCAAATCAGCAATCCAAAGACCTATTTTATCTAGTGGGATTATGTCGTATGTAAAACTTGCTATAGCACTTTTCAGACAAGCATAACTTAATGTTGAGAACACAAACTCGTTACTTATCAGTACAATACAAACTTTATTATTAATAAGTATAGCGTTACTTGGAAAACTTAAAGGTCCAGTGTTAAAATGCAACTGAGTAATCCATTGGAAGTTGTTAAACAGGGTTCCCTCTCAAAGAACTTATTCGGAGATTATTATTCAAAGGTTAAGAGACAAACCCACATTATAAGTTCAGTGTATTCGGAGGTTTTCATGAAGTAAATCTAATTGACATTCGAAGGTGGACTTAACATTTCATTTACTGCAGATCAGTTCTGATTACCAAATCATAAATGAGCAGCTTCACTCTACTGTGAAGGTAATAATCGTTTGTCAACAAATATTGTCGTTGAATAACCTAATCAATATGTATGCTTTGACAATTATGATAAGTACACTTTCTAACTAATTACATTCATGTTTATATTATTGGAACTTTGTATGATGAAGTGACTGACGAAAATTCATTTTCTGACTTATTCCTTCAAACACGACATAGGCTGTGTAAAGCGATCTAATGGTTCGAATAAATTATTGTCCTCTTTTTATTAGCGATAAACATAGTCTATTCAGAATGTATAGACCATTTTGTTCATCACCCGACATTATTTAGCGAAGTCATGATATTCAGGCTTTTTGAAGCCACAGAGAGTAGTGATCATACCCTTCAAGTTTATTGCCCATAATCTATATACAATATCCAATTTTATTCATTTATCACATGGTCACTAAGATTTCAGCGCTAGTCGGAGGTATAAGCTGTATTCTGTAAACAAAGGAATGTATCTGATACCCGAAGTTTTTAAGTAATGCTACAGATTACGTACGAATATTTATAAAGGGTGATATAAATTCAATAAGAGTAAATGGCATTTAGCGTCTAACAAACATTTTGTTATTTGTTGCTTGTTGAAGAACATTGGATCCCAAAAAGTAAAATATTATCCTAAGTTTAATAATGACAGCCTAGGATGAGACTTTTTATAATGCATTCTTCCCGATAGTTCTCTAGCTGATTATATTTTATGGCAAGAATTGTTCTCATTAACCCAATTTTCATAAATTAATAACAACCAAGTTCTAGTCAGTAATTTTATTAGAAAAACTAGGTGTTCTGAACTTCCAGATATCCAAAGTAGTCATTAATTATAAATCATCAGATAACAAAACGGGTATTATGATCAATGTCTGTCATTTATCTAGGATCTCTGAAAACCTGACTCCTAAAAGATTATGCAATAGTGTACTTAATTATTTCGCATATATGGCCAAGCTAAAGCATATACGATCCTGTTTCCACGAGAATACGTATTTCTTCAAGATTACATAGACAGTTTTTCAATAGTTCCCGGGAAATATGAAGTTTAAATCTACAGTTCTTTACGATCAGCTACACATCGAGATTTGGATCGTTTCACAGTGAAGACAAAAAAAGTCAAACAAAATAATTAAGAATTTATTTTGAACTTATAATTAAAAAAATATGGAATATTAGATTGGCGAAATCATATTATTATTTATCATTGAAATCAAGGGAGTTTAAATTTTATCATTGATTAGTTACTAAATCAACTTTAATTGGACCAGTCATTAATCAATCATTGATTAGAATCATTCAGGGAACGGATAGGGAAGTGATCCACCTTCTACATAAATTGATTTCAATTGACTGTAAGCCAACAATGTGTCAACTGAATTTTCTCGACCGAATCCAGATAGTTTATAACCTCCAAATGGAATACCAGGTGGATAAACATTGTAACTGTTAATGTATATAGAACCACATTGTAGTTGTGAGGCTATACGATGGGCAGTCGCCAAATTTTGTGTAAATACTCCTCCAGCAAGACCGAATTCACTTGAATTACGAAAAAAACCAAAACTTATTTAGTTATATATTTTTAAATTCATCGAATAATGAGCTAACAAAACACTACCGAGACTTTTTTCTTTCTCTAAAGAGCAATAGATTTCCATTAACCTATATAGTGTAACCTATATAGTGTGCACACATACGTAAACACCTGAAAAAGCCACAGCAGGACAGATAATAAAAGATTTGTAAAAAATATTGTACTACCGTCAAACAGATGAATATTTCTTTATCGATGAAAATGACTGAATTAAAAACTACTCTAGACATACTTAAATAAATCACGTTTTTTTTTAAACCGAGAATTGACACTATTAGCTGGATGACCATTTAAAATCAGTAAACGCTGGTTGAATGGTCCATTTTGAAATGATAGAGAAGATTTACAGCTCAGGCAGGTGTTTTTTAACCACGTAAGAAATGAAGATGCTGTTCAGGATCTCGACGAAAGCACTGCAATCAAACCATTCAGCTTAGAAGAGACAACACCGAAAGCTGGTTTTTTGAGTTTCAAACCCGTTAGTGATATGTGGTCACAAGCCAATTCATAATCAAACTGATGAAGTTTAATTCTTTTGAAATAACAGTTAAATTGTTTTTTATGATAGGCAATCAGTTTGAAAATTAGAAACCAATATATTGAGTCTTAAGGCACATTGGTAGTATAGGTATTTAATAAGACAGCGTTGATTTATGCACATAATCCGATTTGTAAGTAACATTTCGTTTATATTTTCATCTTCTATTTTCTCTCAGGATTTAAGTGCAAAAAAATTTCATGAGTCTAAAAACCCGGTATATATAGTCTAGAGTGATTTACCAGTGACTGATAAACTTAATTGTTTTGTACAACAATTTAACTGAATAGGTGGCTGGTTGCAGCTTTAAAACAATCCAAGTTTTCAATTAACTCCGCCTGTAGCTCCTCTGGGGGTTACTGCCGGTCCCAAGCCCGGGTAAAGGAGGAGGGTTGGGCATGGGGTTAGCGACCCCATCCCGTAGAAAATCAACTCGCTAAAAAAACGCAAACCAGAAAAAATCATTCAAACCATTCAAACTCTGCCCTGGGAGTAGAAGGAATAATGACGTCTCATGATGAAAGCCGAGTTCCTTCGGAAGTCATGAGGCCGATGCACCTTCTTACAACCAGAGCGACAATTTTTATAGGTACATGGAATGTCCGAACAATGTGGGAGACCGGAAGAGTCTTCCAAATTGCTGCAGAAATGAGAAAATACAACCTGGAGGTTCTTGGAATCAGCGAAACACATTGGACGCAGGTCGGACAACAACGACTGTCTTCAGGAGAACTTCTGTTATACTCCGGTCATGAAGAAGAAAATGCCCCACATACACAAGGAGTTGCATTGATGCTGTCCAGAAAAGCACAAAATGCACTTATTGGATGGGGACCTCATGGACCAAGGATCATCAAAGCCTCCTTCAAAACAAAGAGAGTGGGCATTACAATGAACGTCATCCAATGCTATGCGCCTACCAATGACTACGATGAAGACGCTAAAGACCAATTCTACGATAGACTGCAGTCGATCATCGAGAAGTGCCCATCCAAGGACCTGATAATTCTGATGGGAGATCTCAATGCTAAGGTTGGAATGGATAACACTGGATACGAAGACGTCATGGGACAACATGGACTGGGAGAAAGGAACGAAAATGGTGAGAGATTTGCAAACCTATGTGCCTTCAATAAACTGGTCATAGGTGGCACCATATTCCCACACAAAAACATACACAAAGCCACTTGGATTTCACCGGATCACATTACACAGAATCAAATCGACCATATCTGCATCAACAAAACGTTCAGGAGGACGATGGAGGATGTGAGAACCAGAAGAGGGGCTGATATAGCATCCGATCATCATTTGCTGGTCGCCAAGATGAAACTAAAACTCAAGAAGCAGTGGACAACGGCGCGGACAACATCACAAAAGTTTAATACGGCCTTTCTTCGAGATGCTGACAAACTCAACAAATTCAACATAGCCCTCAGCAACAGGTTCGAGGCCTTTTATGATCTACTCAATGGAGATGGGACTACCATGGAGAACAACTGGAAAGGTATCAAGGAGGCAATCGTTTCAACATGTCAAGAGGTTCTGGGTTACAAGAAGCATCATCACAAGGAATGGATCACTGTTGGTACACTGGATAAGATTGAAGCAAGGAGGAACAAGAAGGCAGCAATCAATATCAGCCGAACAAGAGCGGAAAATGCCAAGGCACAAGCCGAATACACAGAGGCAAACAAGCAAGTGAAGAGGAGCATCAGAACCGACAAACGTAAATATGTGGAAGATTTAGTGATGACAGCGGAAAAGGCTGCAAGAGAGGGAAACATGAGACAACTGTATGATACAACAAAGAAACTTGCTGGAAATTACCGTAAGCCAGAAAGACCAGTGAAAAACAAGGAAGGCAAAGTAATCACCGACATTGAAGAACAACGAAACAGGTGGGTAGAACACTTCAAAGAACTCTTGAATCGACCAGCTCCACTGAACCCACCCAACATCGAAGCAGCACCCACAGACCTACCAATCGATATTGGCCCACCAACAATTGAAGAGATCAGCGTGGCCATTAGACAAATCAAGAGTGGCAAAGCAGCGGGACCAGACAACATCCCGGCAGAGGCACTGAAAGCAAATGTAACAGCAACTGCCAAGATACTACACATCCTCTTCAGTAAGATTTGGGACGAAGAACAAGTACCAACAGACTGGAAAAAAGGACTTCTCATCAAGATACTAAAGAAAGGCGATCTGAGCAAGTGCGACAACTACAGGGGCATCACTCTTCTCTCAATACCAGGAAAAGTCTTCAACCGAGTATTGTTAAACAGGATGAAGGATTCCGTGGACGCCCAACTTCGAGATCAACAAGCTGGATTTCGTAAGGATAGATCGTGCACAGATCAAATCGCAACTCTACGTATCATTGTGGAACAATCAATCGAATGGAATTCATCACTCTACATCAACTTCATCGACTACGAGAAGGCATTTGATAGCGTGGACAGGACGACACTATGGAGGCTTCTTGGACACTACGGCGTGCCTGAGAAGATAGTCAATATCATACGGAACTCCTATGATGGACTAAACTGCCAAATCGTCCACGGAGGACAACTCACCGAGTCGTTTAAAGTAAAGACTGGTGTAAGGCAAGGTTGCTTACTCTCACCCTTTCTCTTTCTCCTGGTCATCGACTGGATCATGAAGACGTCAACATCTGGAGGAAATCACGGGATACAGTGGACAGGCAGGATGCAGCTTGATGATTTAGACTTCGCGGATGATCTGGCTCTTCTATCACAAACGCAACAACAAATGCAGGAGATGACGACCAGTGTAGCAGCAGCCTCAGCTACAGTAGGTCTCAATATAAACAAAGAGAAAAGCAAGACTCTCCGATACAATACAATATGCACCAATCAAATTACACTTGACGGAGAAGCGTTGGAGGATGTGGAAACCTTTACATATCTGGGCAGCATCATCGATGAACACGGTGGATCAGATGCAGATGTGAGGGCAAGGATCGGCAAAGCAAGAGCAGCATATTTACAACTGAAAAACATCTGGAGCTCAAAACAATTGTCAACCAACACCAAGGTTAGAATTTTCAATACAAATGTCAAGACAGTTCTTCTGTATGGGGCAGAGACGTGGAGAACTACGAAAGCCATTATCCAGAAGATACAAGTGTTTATTAACAGCTGTCTACGCAAGATACTTCGGATCCGATGGCCAGACACTATCAGCAACAAGTTACTGTGGGAGAGAACAAACCAGATTCCATCAGAGGAAGAAATCAGGAAGAAGCGCTGGAAGTGGATTGGGCACACCTTGAGGAAATCACCTGATTGCGTCACAAGACAAGCCCTCACATGGAATCCTGAAGGTCAAAGGAGAAGAGGGAGACCAAAGAACACATTACGCCGAGAAATAGAGACAGACATGAGAATAATGAACAAGAACTGGGTAGAACTAGAAAAGGAAGCCCAGGACAGAGTGGGTTGGAGAAAGCTGGTCGGCGGCCTATGCTCCATTGGGAGTAACAGGCGTAAGTAAGTAAGTAAGTTTTCAATTAAAAAAAGAATAATCTTTCTAGAGCTTTTGGTTATTATTAATAGTATTGATTAACTGCAAAACATTACAATTGAGAAGAGTCCAAAAAAAGAAGACAGATGACTATTTAACATTAGGAAAAAGACAAACCTGTCGTTTGAACGTCGGACAACTTCTTCTTCTGTATTAAATTCTAATAAAGTAATAACTGGACCAAATATTTCCTCTTTCACAACTTTCATATTATCGTGACAGTTAGTTAAGATACATGGTGTAATAAAATTATCATTATTTAAATTACTGACTTTAAATTTTGGCTTTTCACCACCATACAATAAAGTGGCTCCTTCGGAAATGGCTGATTTTATATAATTATATACTTTTTGTTGATGTTCAGGAGAAATTAAAGCACCCATGGAGACTTTCGGATTGAAAGGATCACCGACTAAAATTTGTTTAACTGATTCAATAAGTTTTTGAGTGAATGGTGCTGCAATAGATCTAATGTTTTAAAAAAAAGATATATGTAGAGGAATTGATTTCTATAAATTTAAATTGATCTATTAGGATCATTGGACTATCTAGCTAGTTTCTAAGTGTTTATAAATATTGTCGTAAAGCTTTCCGTTTTGATTTGATCTTAATTAACTAACAAATTATTTGCATAGTTGAATTCACAAGTCAATTTAATCCAGACCACCATTGGAAACCTGGAAGTGCTGGATGACCGTTTTATCCTAGTATGGGACTCCAAAGTATGCACCCACCACCCCGCACGTGGGACTCGGGCCGAGAGCCCTAGGTCTCGCGCGTGAGCGCTTAACCTCTAGACCATTGAGCCAGCATCCAACGGTGTTATTGTCTAACTCCGACCGATCCATGACCTTGTGCAACCCTTTATCGATTGTCTGAGATGGATGACTGTTTAACACCAGACACAGATTAGACTCCACTGGTCGCGGCTTCTAACTAGAACTCTAGAAGTTTCATATTGAAGCTAGTCACTAGTGAGCACGTTATTATAACCAGTATGGGAAATTGTGCAGATTGTTCGAGTCCCGCGTACAGGACCGTGGATATGCACTTCTGAGAAGTCCCAAACTAGGACGGAACGGCCGTTCAGTGTTTCCAGTTTTAAATGATAGTCTAGCTTAGATCAACTTAGGAATTCAACTGTGAAAATAATGTAATCTCCACAAATCCCCATACTGATAACAATTTATTATTATTAATGGAATTATTTACCACCTACTGAGGAATATACCTTACATTCACATTAGTATATAATTCACCAATGTAACAAACACATAATAAAATATCTGAATGATCAGTGTACAAAAGTTGTCTGACAAAAATAACTGTGGAAGGTAATTGACCTTTAAGAGTTCTAGCCTAAAAATGTTTCTCCGTCCATAAGAATAAATAATATTCATGTAAAGGAGCAAACCTATAATGAAACTGTAGATATTTTTGAAAACTAGTCAATGATCATTTTCACTTTCATATGCAGAAAAGATTCTTCATCATCATATTTTACTTACCTATGAACAAATACACGAGCAGCATTAGAACATACTTGTCCTTGAGTATAAAAATTAGCCATCAAAGTGCCTTTAACAGCTTCATCTAAATTAGCATCTGACATTATAATCAATGGTGATTTTCCGCCTAGTTCAAGTGTACTTGGTATAATGCGTTCAGCAGCGCATTTAAGCACAGATCGACCTCCTGTAACACTTCCTGAAAATACCAAAGATAATATATGGTATAACGCATCCAACTGTTTGATCAGTAGTGCTAATGAAGTCAAACATGGATATTAAGAGTAGAAGATACTCGTAGGCTACTAGTATTTGACCACAGATGCCTTAGAAATATTGCTCGCATCTGCTGGGATAACCGGGTAAGTAATAGTGAGGTTAGACGCAGGGTATTAGGGAACGATGGTAAATCAGTTGATAAGGTGATGAATCTTCGTCGACTGAGATGGTTGGGCCACGTGTTACGTATGCCTGAACACCGATTACCACGACGCGCTATGATGACTAGTGTTGGTGATGGTTGGAAGAGAGTTAGGGGCGGCCAAACCAAAACATGGCATCAGTGTTTGAAGTCACTAACTTCTAGTCTGAGCGATGTTGGCAGATGCAGACTACCTGGTTGGGGTCCGCGTGACTATCGTAACCAATGGTTGGAGACTCTGTGTGACATGGCTCAGAATCGATCACAATGGCGTAGGTGTATACACTCTTTATCTTCCCTTAAACCTTGAGACTAAAATTGCTTCATATCTCTCTTCCTTCCTGCACTATATCCTTATATAAAACCTTTCTTGATATACTACCACCACTAAATTAATTACTTCTATGAATCCGGTGTTCGTCTTGTTGTACTAACGAGGTATGGCAACTTGGACCGATGCATAAATGTGCCTGGTCCTACGTTGTAGATAACTGACTGAATGAAGTCAAAATAACAGTATAATGTTAGCTCATCTATTGATGGGAAGCAACAAAAAATAGCACTACTCGCCAGCGATAATTTACAGATAGCATAGCTTAGTCGGAGATTATGGAAGATCACAAGAACTTAGCATTTGATACATCAGTTAATTTCTTATTTGTAAGGATATTAATCTTATTGAACATTATTCGACAAACAACGAATATTACAGGCAGTAAATTGGTAAAATATGGATTACAACTTCTTTAAAATACGTCTAGTTTGAATTATTTAAATATTTTAATTCTATTGTTGCATAATTTCAATAACATTAAATGCTACAAATTGGTTAAGAAGAGAATTTCTTTATTTCATGTAAATCAGAAGTGTTAATTGATTGTCAGATAATCTGCAGTAAACGTTATCCCATAGTAAAGGTAATGTATTTAGTTTGAATACAGTTTTCTTTATATTTCCAGAAAGATCAGGTAGTTTGTAAGTGTCCTTATCAAGGTTTGACTTGATAATTTCGTGTAGACTGATGATGAGGTATATTGTTAATGACTGAAATAGTATATTCATAAAGTTTCAACCAGTAGAAAATTCTTAATTGTTGATTTTCTGTAAATGTTTTAAGGATATATTTTCGTAGCCCGAGATCTAACTCCAGTTAGATCAGACGAATGATTGTTATTGAAATATACATGTCATCAATCCTCGTATATAGTCATCGACGTAAATCGCGTTGGTGAATAACGGAATTAAACAAGTCAAATATGAGAATGGATTTTCGAATACGTATATTTTGTACAATCATTGATGGGAAAGCGGAACAAAACAAAACGACGCGCAATGGAGAAGGCGAGTGAGCGAACTCAATTTAGCTAGGCGTGAATCTATATTTATAGTTAGACCAAAAAGCAAGTTACGGACATATGATGAGTAAGGTAAGTAATTAGCACACATACGATCACATGAAGCAGTCAGGATTAATAAGCGAATAATTAACAAGGTCAAAATGTGGTTTGAGAAGAATGAATAGATTGATCTGTCCATAGGCTAGAATAACGTATGTGGTCTTGACATAGTACCAGATCCTACAATATCATGAAACTGTTTTGTTCTTGTTACTGTGTTTATAGTTATAATTATTCAATAAAAGAATTTATACAGTACCAGAGATACAAACAAGCTGTCAATATCTATTACTAACGGCCAATTCAAAAAGATTTGTACTTATTACAACAAACAGAATCAATTCATATGAAAGGTGCCTAAATATTCGAATTTTTTTTCTTATTTTTCGAAAATGATACTTATGTGAAACTGCAGTTATTAGTATATCACTAAAGATTGAATAAGTATAACATCAATACAATTTTCTTGCAATAAAATAAATTCATAAGCATAGTGTATATTTGGATGTCAGAGAAAAAAAGGTTACTATTTAGAAAAAAAAGACATAACTTAACCTGTAAATGATACTTTTCTAACTAAAGGATGATTTACTAATGCTTGACCGATTTCAACACCTCCTAGAACAACTTGGTAAAGATTTTCAGGACATCCAGCAAGTTTATACAATTCGTATAAACGAATAGCTGTTAATGGAGTTAAAGGAGATGGTTTAAATATAAAAGAATTTCCAGCAGCTAGCGCAGGAACAGATTTCCATACAGCCATCTTAATTTCAAATAAATAGAAAAAATTAGGCGTAAACGTTTCATATCATTAATATAACTAAATAAATAAATGAATAAATATTAAGATTGATTTGTCAATAACAGTTCTCAATAGAAATAAACTATGAAAAATAGTTCTACGAACTAGTTAATGATAGACCATTAGATTAAAACGTTTGAATGGTTAATTAAAATCTCATCAACATTAAAAATGATGGTACTTTCTAAACGTTGGTTATACCCTAAACATTTGTTTGGTCCTTTTTAGATTCATGCTTTTAACAAAAACGCCTACTTTCCAATAACTGTGTAATTAGATAGTAGAATAATTTGATTACAATGTTATGATAAGAAATGAACCACGCTGAAAATGCCCTCCTGGCTAATGACTTACAACTCATAACGCAGTGAATAACTTTGTTATTAAAAATATTGAAAGGAAATTTTGCGAATTTGATTCAAGGTCTTGTTAGCAACCGTAAATTGAAGTTAGCATTTCTGACACTTATTAACCTCTTCCAATCGGTTTCAAAAGCCATAATTACTCATGGCAATTGTGAAGAATGTTAGCAATCATAATTTTACGCTCTTAACCATCATTGTATCTAGTCATTACTTAATTCAAACAAAAACCTGGGGTGTGTTATAACTTCTGGCCTTATGCACCTATAAATACACATAATGTAGTGATACCGCCAATTAGAGAACAGTGATTTATCAACCAGACCAGTCTTTATCAGTCCTGCTTAGCCCTGTATGTTAAGTCCAGAACACTAATCCTAGCCTCTGTGATATGAATCGCGTTTTTTTAAACATACTGGGTTTATATACAAACCAAATAGATCACATCGTACCATAAAATGGAATAGTGAATGTGAGAGATAGTAATTAATAGACTGAGGATAACTCAAGAATGGTAAATCGTATAATAACAGTTGATAGGTCGAAATAAAGCTTATAATAAGAGGAACATGAATATATATGACTCCAATGAGATCCTATGGATGATTGTAGTCAAAATATACATCCTGCCTATCCACGTATGTAATAAATGACTTAATCCGCGTTGGTGAATAACGGAGTTAAATAAGTCAAACACGAGAATGAACTTCCAATACATATATTTTCTACACTCATTGATCTAGACAAGAAATCAGAGGAATGAAGCGAGTAGAAGAGAGCGAAGCAAAAATGACACGCATTAGAGATGGAGGGTAAGCCAACTCACTTTAACCAAGCGTTAATCAATATTTTGTAGTTAGATAAAAATAAATTACATACATATGATGAATAAGATAAAAAGTGTACACACACATACGCTCATATAAAAAGTAGTCAGGGTTAATAAGTGAATAATTAACATGGTTAAAACGTGATTCAAGGTGGATAGGTAAATTGGCTTGTCCAGAAGTGAGAATAAGGTATATGAGCTTAACATGCCAACCGACACTAGAACAACAACTAAACATTAAAGTGATATGTATGATGGCGCTTAAAAATCCAGACAACAGTTAAACTATGTGCATACTACATATCACATATAATAAATGGTTATTATTATCATTATTATTATGAATTTTCTGTATGAGAGAAACAATGAATATTTAAGGATATACAAAATGATATTCCAGGATCTAATAACCATATAGTTGGATTATATAATATTCATTAATAAATATTTTTCCTATGTCAATATGCCAACATAGTTTTTAACCGAAAAATACATTTTTATAATATAAACATTGCTAACTAATAAGCTAGTCCATATTGGAAAATGGTAAATTCTACATCGGTTTAATAACTAATGAATGTTTTTCACAAATTCAAGTGCATTATTTGTTTAAAAGCTAACTGAAATTGCAATAGCATAGAAATGTAGGTCTTTATTTTAAAATTTTAGAGATAGTCATAAATGATAATGTCTTGGTAATTATCGATCAAATTATCAGAAAGACTAACTGCACAACAAGAAATATCAAATCATAAATAATAGTAATTACTTGAAAAGGAAAATTCCATGCTCCAATACCAGCACAAAGTCCAAATGGTTCTCTTCTAGTATAATAAAAACTAGGAAAAAAAGAAAGCAAAACAAAAAGTAGGAAATCTGACCTATAAATTGTCATACAAAGAAGGAAAGAGAGAGGGATGACATTGAGTTATCGCACTGAAACTCAAACACGTAGAATTAAAGGTTTCTACTGAGTTCAATCGGAAGTAGGCAAGTAGCTTAAGTCAGTCGATCATAATCAATGTAGAACTTAGCATATATGTGCAGTCTAGAAACTATTGGGTAAAACAAAAAGGTAACAAAGTTGAGAATGTCCAGTGAGACTATAATTTATGGACGATTTTTGAGCGACGCTAAAGTGACCTTGAAAATGTCCACCTACTAACTACAACTAAACGAGGATTATAAACCAGTGGATAGAATTAGAATTATGATTTACAGTTGATGGTTAGGGTTAGGAATTAGATTTAAGGTTTTCATCACGAACTGACATCAGCTGAAATCCTAAAGCGCTGTTTAGCCAAATAAATGAATGAGTTTCACACCGAAATCCAAGACATGTTATCTTATATCTGATTGATTCATCTATAAATTATAGTCTCGCCAAATTGGGAAATAATAGCTTCTAAACCAAACGGAATGGAGTAAAATGAAGATAATAATACATACGAGATTGTAAATTATGTCATAATGTAAGTCATTTAAACTTTTAAATGTCATCTATCGGAATTGGGATTAGTTGTGGTGGTTCCGTAACATAAGGGTCCTCTATTATATTTCAAAATAAAACTACGAGCTATTACTAGTACTGAGTACTTCCGGTTTACAAAATCGATTCAGTAAACTGTAGTTGATTTTTTATGGTTAATTAATTAATCCCCATATATGATTGGAGTTAATTTTGAAATAAATCTAAGTAGTTAATATGGTGTTTTTTATTAGTCAACACGTCGAGTAGAAATACTTGGCAAAAAAGTGATTACCAAGAATTAAATGTACACAGTAAATAAATCGGTTTAAACAAAAATATATCTAATGTGAAAATCAAACCATTTATTCCAAAAATGAATCCAGTGTAAAGATATTTACTATGCCCATAAACAATACGTTTTGACATGATTATTTTTAAGGGTTTTTTACCGTTAAGTTCTCTTACTACATCGAAAATAAACCTCAGCAACTTGGGTCATCAAACTCTTTTATCATATCTCATGCAATTTGAGTAGATCTGTCTCACAACTATATTTTTGATCCTCACATCAAATATTAAAACTAATAATCTAGAATGTAAGCAATTTTAAATTACCTGCCAGGATTTGGTGGGACAGGAGAATGAGTCCCAACAAAACTTGGGATAAAACCAGCAAATAGCTCAAATGAATCTGCACAAGCCTCAATGTCTGCACGAGCTTCCCACAGTGGCTTTCCAGTATCTAGTGTCTCTAATTCAGCAAGCCAATCTGTTTCAGCACGAACAAGATCACCAACTTTTCTAAGAATCTGAAATATGTCATTTAAGTATAGTAAATAGCATTGCTTAATGGATTGTCAAATAATGAAAAAATAATTCAAACAAGCAGTAAGATATATCATAAAGCATAACATATAGTTGGCTAATTTTAGGTTGTACAGTGGTATATTAGAAATGTATTAATTCTGGGGAAAAGTTTATAAGGTGATGACAATGATTAGAGTCATTCTTTATCACCTTTATGTATATTACTAATAACCTTTGAAGGGTTCTATTAATAAGGTGCAGTAGCAAAACTAAACAATAATCATGGAGTTAATAATCAATCTTTATATATATATTGCCATGTAGAGCTGAAGGTCTCATATGAGACTGGAGGTTCGCCACTGACATTGTGAATGGTTCGGCATCAATTTGGCAAGTTTTGCTGAATGTTCATGTGCAAAATTGTTTTGCTGGCTAACCGATTTCATTCATACTGGTGGTTGTTTTTCAGTGTTCTCAAGGGCCATTGTCATTGGAACATTATAAGGCATGTCGCCATTGCTAACAGTTATGAGTTTGACTGTCGTGTAAGCGGAATGGGTCAACTTTGGCCTGTTTATGTTGTGCATAATTGATTTACGCGATCATTGATCGGAATAATTATACATGTGATGTGAATGTGTGTATGAACAGTGCGAATGGTCCACCAGGGTGTTTGGTACCTGTGTGGTTGCGCCACAGCATTGTGCTGTACTATTCACATTGTAGCGTTGAAGCCTATATGGTGTCTGGTTTTCCTGTGAGGCGTGATTGAGCTGTACTGCTCGGGTTAAGCCTGGGCGGTGTCTGGCTCTTCTGCGAGACGGGATCGAGCTGCACTGCTCGGGTTAAGCCTGAGGGCGGTGTCTGGCTCTCCTATTAAACGGGATCGAGCTGTACTGTTTGAGTTGTCACGTGAAAGGCTGGATGCTGTCTGGTTCTCCTGAAAACCAAAGCAAAATCACTGTCCCACAAGGGTTTATTATATAACTTATATAATACGGGATGAAATAACAACATATGACGAAACCAGCATGTTAAAATGATTCCAGTAGAGTTGGTGATTGTTAGCATTGAAATAGTAATGAATGCCCCTTTAATTATTGAGTCAGTTTTTTTAGACTACAGGTTGTTATTCTATCTCGTAGCTTTCTTTTACTTCAAACAAGGAGCATTATTTAGCTATTCGCAATATGTATATAACAGGATAATTAAGCTTTGAGTAAGATATATGAAATATGCTTGTATGTGAAGAGACCAACTTGAATCACTTACACCGAAAGATTGATTCAAAGCTTTAAGTACAGTTCCGTGATCCAAATTACTATAGTGAAATCGCGTTCTCAGTTCCCATTGTTTAGGTTATAAGTTAGACCACCATTGAAAACTCGAAAGCGCTAGCGATTAGATTCGAGGAGTTTCCTGAGTTCTAGTGAGAAGCTGTGACCAGTGGAGCTAAACCGTGTCGGGTGTGAGGTAGTTACCTAAGACGATGGAAGAAGGTCGTGAAATCTTATGAACTGATTGAAGTTAGATACATCATTGGATCCTGACTCACAGATCTAGAGGTTCAGCATTAGCGCACGAAACTGAGGGTCCTGATTTTGATTGTTCTCTTATCACAGCAAAATATTTCATTCAAACTATAGTTTAGTGAGTAGTGGACTTGGTATTATTTTGGAAAAAGAAAAACATTTCTAGATCCTTTGGTCATGAATAATTCCGGTCTTTGTAGAACCTAACCATAATAATTCTTTGGTGTCAAGAAAAGTAATGAAAATAATACTTAGAGAAGAAATATGACTCACTTTGGCACGTTCTAGTAATGGTAAATCAATCCATTGTTTTTGTGCTTTGCAGGCGTTAATAGCCATTTCATCAAGTCGTGAATATGTTGTTTGTTTGTAATGAACCAAAGGTAACCAAGTGGATGGATCATAACTAGTATAGTCGTAATTGCAACTTGGATCTTTCGTATCTCCTGCAGCAAATTTCAATGGAAGCTGACTATTAATTAACCATTTGTGGAGTCTCTCAATAGCTTGTTTACGACACTCCTGAAATGATTCAGAATTCATTTGAAATTGTTGACATCTGATTGCTGATGTTGAAAATGCAGTTAAATTACTGAATCGGATAAAAGCGCTTTGAAACCTTAAAATTTTGCAAATCAATATCTAAAATAGAATCAAATGGAAATCAACGAAAGAAATGTTTACTTATTTGGTCAAACGTAAAGTATGATATAAGATTCAAACTCGGGTACTCGACGTTTAATTACACCTCATATATGAGAAGCGGTGATGCTACCGAGATCTTTAAACACAAGTGGGATATCACTTGAGCCCCAAAATAGAGCTCTTTAACCACTATTTCATCGCTTAAATATGCCAGTCATTGATGTGTGTATTGAAAACATGTGAATAAAATGTGAAAAATAGCATTCTTCAAATTTCACTTGTTAGTATCACACATTTTTACTTAAGAAAAATTAAAAATGGATGAAAATAGAAATTAGTGGTTATGGGTAAAGAATCGAGTATAAATATAGGTGAATCAAATGAATGAACACCAAATGGCAAAACTATAATTTATGGACGGTTTTTGAGCGACGCTAAAGTGACCTTGAAAATGTCCACCTACTAACTACAACTAAACGAGGATTATAAACCAGTGGATAGAATTAGAATTATGATTTACAGTTGATGGTTAGGGTTAGGAATTAGATTTAAGGTTTTCATCACGAACTGACATCAGCTAAAATCCTAAAGCGCTGTTTAGCCAAATAAATGAATGAGTTTCACAAAAAAATCCAAGACATGTTATCTTATATCTGATTGTTTCGTCCATAAATTATTAGTCTTGCCCAATAGATGGTCTTGAACACTAAAATCATTTTGAAAGCGTGTAAAACCAACCCACGCTGATACAAATAAGCACTATCCACAAACCTCCTGTTACAATAAATTTGATTTATCAAGACTGTACAATTTATCAATATTTAGTAGATCACATATAATTATAATTATAACAAGATAATTAGTTACGGAGATCTTTTTAAAACAGAAGAAATGACCAAATATAAATGTAAACAGTTAAAGAAAAAAAATTATGGTGGAAACTGCACAGAAAATCGCTTTCTTAAATCGGTATCATAACTTTTATTCGAAGAAAAATAAAATTTAGACAAACACGTTGTTGACGTAACCTCAAGCTAAAACTAATGATCACCCTGATATTTATTGTTACACATGACCATACAATATTTATGGACAGTATGACAACACTTGTAATTCAAAACATCATCGCATACTTTCATGCAACAATTAATCAATCGTAAAGACAAACATATAATCAATGAGATGAATTTTGATGAAGATAAATCAAACCAGTTTCACTTCATGAGCAGAAAACAATACCCATTGTAGAACAAGGTCTTAATAAAAACTATTCATAAAAATCTAGTTGCAACAGGAAAAGATTAGAAGAAATTAGCACAAAAAGTATCATTTTATATGTATCAGAATAAGTCTTAAAAACAGAATATTTTTTTCATAATATTTAACATAATGTGAACTAATCAGATCTTTAAATATTAAATCATGATAACTAATTGGACTCGCCTAATTATTACACGAAAAAAGTAGTGTAATACAAAGTTAGTGAACTAATCAGTAGAGGTCAATTCGGTAGCATAACATTAGCATTAATTAAATTAATCTTAGAACTCTATTCTGAGTATCTTTATCAATTACATCTCATTAGTACTGACTGGTCTATTTGTAATATTCTTAATTTAGTTTCAATACTTATATTGACCACCTAACATGAATATGCAACCAAAAACACGTTCTTCAAGAATGATGACGTATCGGTGGTACATGAAACATTAACATGAAATTTACACACACACACACACATAATTTCGTCAGGAGCACACTGATAACTGAAGTTACTAAGGACTTTAACATGAGTAGTTTTCAGCGATATTGTCTTGTATTTCAATAACCATTCTTCTGAAAATTCGTAGATAACTCACAGTAATAAGGGTAACTGAAAGGCAAGAGACACATATTTCGATCACAACACCTACAGTACAGTTTAATAAATGCTGAATCTTCTAAAATATTATCAAGACTTTAGTTGTGTTTAGTCAGAGGGATAAATAGTCGATCTAGAATCTCGGAAAGACCGATGTATTATGATAATTAACCATCACAAACACGGTGTCAAAGCAGTATTTTACTCTCCAATGACGGATGACAAAATTGACTGTTCCGAGATTCACAAAACAGATTTCGTGCCTATCAGAGGACAATTAATCAGACATATGTACTACAACGAGAATGAATGCATAAAGCGGAATCCCATTATACCTTTTAATACCTCAAGTGATCATGGAATGCAAACAACTAAGTCAAACTACTGCTGAATACCTAACACTATTTAAAACTTCCATCAACCTATGAACCAACAGTTGAAATGTTTCAGATTTATTAATACCTACTTTTTAATTTTTTTGAACTTGAGATCAGTATTCTGAACTTCAATAAATATTTTCGACAAATTTTACAGTCAATTAAGTTTGGGACTGGATTTTAAGTATATTTACATTCTTCCAATTGACATTTTGTTCTGTAACTACTTACACATCTACATTCAGATTCAAAGACTTGGGTACCACTGTAGTTATTAACAGTCTTATGCTTTAGTAAAAGCTATAATTTTAGACGATGAGTGTCAGTGTAAGCGTAGAAGCGAGAATCCTTAACCTCCAGTTAAACTATATATGACATAAACAAAGTTATCTAAAATTTACCCGTATATCTTACGATACGCTGGTAATTTTCAGTATACAAATTCAATCTGATGAGATATTGTGGTGTATGCTACTCACGCTGACAGATATAAGTAGTGTGGAGCAGCGATCGGAAGTGGAATGACTGCCAGTAGAAGATTCAAATGAAGAGAAGAGGAAGGAATTCGGAGAGCAATCAAGATCACAACAGAATTAGAGAAATAGTGGAGTGTGAAAAGGACAACGCAAAGAAAATGTGAAAGTGATGTATTTAATATATGATTTTCATATTTTTCTAAACCACTGTGTGATTTTGCATCAAGCAATAAATTGGCTTCCCCCATCTGAGTTTTCGTTCACTACAATATACTCATCCTCAATTCGTCTTTGATTGATTTCGAGGGCTGATCTCGGCTATAACAGTTTTCTAAGATTTTTTCTTTAGTTTACACCTATAATATTCTTAAAGTGACAATTAAACTTTCCACTATAGAGACAATGAAGACTTACTTTTGTTGGAGTAGTATTTAATTACCAGAAATGATGTTTTCTGTTTATTCACCCAACAATACAAGTTGGATCGATTGGTAGTCGCTCAAGGTTGTACATAGATTTAGACAATAAAACTATACGATAATTAGGTAATTAAACTGAGAACTCAAAAAGTTTAAAAACCTGATATCTATGGGAACAATTTTTTAAAATCATGTGTAGCGTTATTTCGTAACTTCAAATAAGTAGAATGGTTGCATTTTAGGACGAGATAAATGAACGTATAGCAATCAGATTAATATGGATTTAGAAATATACCTTAGTAATTTGCTTTATTCACCCAACACATTAACAATTCCCTATTTTAGTCACTACCAATATAAAAATTAGTTGATAGTTTTAGAAACAGAGCAGATCAAAATTTGTAGAAAACCTTTCATCATGAAGCAAAAACGCTTTAAAAAATATGGCCTAACAAAATGGCATTTATTTTCTTCAAATATTGGCCTATCAAAGTCTGAGAGTAGTGTTTACCTGTTTTGTGTTATTCTCAGAATCCCTGCGGGTACTTGCTTTTATAACATTTTTCAACGATGAGAAGATAAGTGAATGTCTGTTTTAGATGGCCGAATGACTAGTATTTCTAATCCCACTGAAGTTTTGATTGAATTCGGACTATCGTTTTTTATAGATCGCTTGGCTAACTGCAGAGATTACAGCATCCTACTGAGGTTTTTGACTGATCGGACATTATTGAGCATTAAGTTGCAAACATAAATAGAATCAGGTTAACGCTAACAATCACAGTGGGGACACGTATTCCTGGAAGTGCATCGAAAACATATCCTGAGTATAAAGCAGGTAACTAGAACTAATACCGACTGGAAATTCGCAAAAACGTCTAAGACTGCCTAAACTGCATGTGAAAAGAATTTATTTAGTCAATAAAAAAAAGTTAATATAAATTTTTATTCAACTGAATAAACGAATATAATCAGAACAAATATGTTGCATCAAGATACTTTATTGTTTACTAAATATCAAAAAGTTAAAACTGTACAAAAGATTTAAAGGATTATTTCACTGGTATTTACAATATCCAATTTAAAAGAGGACAGAGATTACTGTTATCTGGTCTTTTAAATATATAGACAATAGGTTAAAATTTTTCAACTCAGTTAATATTTTAATAGTTCGATTAGTCTACCATTCAGCAGCTAAACGGCTAAGTTCCAGAGGATTATAATCAGACAAAAATATTAATTCAGCTTGTCCATTTGGTGTAAAAGCAGCAGGATTTGTAAGCCAATTATTCTCTGCATAAAATCTTAATAAGGCATTAATTTCTGTTGGGGTGTAATTTTCAACGAGAACAGGAATGAATGGATCCATATATTCGAAACCGGATTTCCCCAAAAGATAACTGGATATTTTTTTAAGAAAAAGATAATGAACATTTTGAAAGGTATATCGTTCCAATACTTTTACTAGTTTTGCGTATAATTGGTACATGAAAAATTAGAGTAAGAACACCAACATACTATCTTTATTTTCAATATCTTATCTAATTGATAATTTAATAAAAATTGCTTCTGTCTTATATTTGTTAGTAGTTTTAAAACAATCCCATTTTATATCGACATACAGAACAAACATGTGGATCTCTGAACTCATATATCATCCCTCCTTATTTTTACAACATTGACAAGTAAAAGCTGACAAGATAATGGTTAGAAAACTATAAACAACTGAAAAGTATTTTATCTGAGATATAAGAAATCTCACTGTTGAACTTCAATGTGTTCTAGTGTTTAACAAGGGTGGGTTACATCACAGTGAATACAATTAAAAGTCAGAGGCAAACAGAGCAGCCTATACGAGTATGATTACAACAAAATGGAAAAAGTACTTTAACAAACGACACTTCGTAAAAACCGCTTTACTGGCATTACCCCAGTTAACAACTCCATACACAAATATAAATGTAAATGAATTGCTGCTAAAGATAATTTCCCATATAGTTTTGTATTCAAATCTAAAGGTTACCAACAAAGCTATACAATTAACAAAGTGAAGTATATTCTATATCGGCCGAGTATATGTGTTTCAAAAAGTGAAGGGTGAAAAAAGTGGTTGAAACACATTTATTCGAATATTTCAAGAATTTGTGATTTTTAGTGTTAGTTATTTTTTAATCCAAATTCAGAAGTAAATTACTACCGAACTTAGAAGCTACAATATTGAAACTGATTCTCCTAATCTTCTTAATACATTGAGGTGAATAACAACCAAACTGTTTGTATATGGAGTCTTTATTTTCTTACTCCATCAATTAATTCCACTTAATAATTTACTTATTTATTTAAACACATATATATTGGTACAAAAGGGCACCAGGTACATATGCGCCACACAAAATAATGAAAGTAGGAAGAGAAGGGATGAAAAGATAAGGCGGACTAAAATGTACAACCAGAAGACTCTTTCAGTTAAGAAAGTTAGAACCATTCTTTATGTAGAAAGTAAAAGAAGGTTGCAGCAGGATCGCCACTGGCTTCTATTCTGAGCCATATCTGATAACGTCTCTAGCCACTGTGTTGCACCATCTCTCGGACCCCAACCAAGGAGTCGTGAAGGACCAACAGAAGCTAGCCCTTTGCAGCTCTCTTTCATGCCACGACACCATGTCATACACTGACCTCCTCTCCGCTTTTTCCAACCAGTCCCAGGGTCGGCAAATAATGCACGACGTGGAAGTCTCTGGGACGACATTCGTAAACCATGTCCAAGCCACCGAAGTCGGTGTTTCAAGATGGTGACACCAATTGAATTGTCGTCTCTGTGCCCGAACACACGATGCCGAACCTCTGCATTACTAACATGGTGTTGTCACTGGATGTCAGCAATCCTTCGGAGACAACGATGATCGAACACAGAGAGACGTCTAACATCCTCAACTCGGAGAGGCCAGGTTTCACAAGCATAGAGAAAAACTGCTCTCACCGACGCGTTGTAGATCCGACTTTTTACAGCCAGACTAACATCACGAAGGCGCCAAAGATGGCCCAGATTGGCATAAGCCGATCTGGCTTTCCTTATACGTGCATCAATCTCATCACTCACGCCACCACCAGCACTTATATAGCTACCTAGATACATGAACTTCTCAACTACTTCGATCTGCTCACCATCCAGGGTGAGTACAGGATTAGAATCCTGCCAGTCTTGTAGAAGTACTTTGCACTTGGAGGGTGCAAAGCACATGCCGTACCTGCGGACACTGATTGCCAACTGATTAAGTGCTGATTGCATGCCTTGGGCATTATCGCACAGTAAGACAATATCATCAGCATACTCAAGGTCGAGAAGTCGTTCTCCAGGCAACATATCCACACCGCCATTACTTACATCCACCAGAGCTGTTTCTAGGATGTCGTCGATGGCAAAGTTGAAGAGGAATGGTGAGATCGGGCAACCCTGTCTAACCCCACTGCTCGAATGGAACAAGGGAGAAAGGTGGTTGTATGCCCTCACTCTGCCTGAGGTGTTCGTATACAGGGCTTTTAAGATGTTAATGAACTTCTCAGGCACACCCTTCTTCAATAGACAATCCCAGAGAACAGTCCTGTCCAACGAATCGAAGGCCACCCTGATATCAAGAAACACTACGATTGTTGGCCTGCGATAAGTATGACGGTGTTCTAACATTTGGCGGAGGGTGAAGATATGATCAATGCATCCTCGACCAGAACGAAAACCAGCCTGCTCCTCGCGAGTCAATCGTTCTCGGGTTTTAAACAACCTACGAAGAATGATAGAAGCCAATAGTTTGGACGCAATCGGAAGTAGACTTATCCCCCGATAGTTATTGCAGGAACAACGCGAACCCTTTTTAAAGATAGGGACGACTATTGACTCATTCCATGATGTTGGAACACTTTCTTGCTCCCAAACCTTTCCAAACAACACAGTCAATTCCTTAGTCAGAAAGTCGCCACCATCTTTAAAAAGAGCCGGAGGTAAGTCATCTGGGCCAGGTGATTTGTAGCGCTTCAAGAGTTGGAGTTCCTTGCGGGCTTCCGCCTCGTTTGGTGGAACAGTCGTCACCGGCCATGGGGGGCAGGACAAGCTGGTTGATGTTGCCGGAGCAGCAGGCCAGTTGAACTGCCCTTCGAAAAATTCCGCCCATCGTCCAAGACGTCGGGAGATGTTAGTGGTTGGCATCCCATCATCCTCGTAGATTGTTTCACTCACACCAGACTTCTTGCTGCCAGTGGCTCGGATGAGTTGGAAGAGCTTCCGGCAGTTACCAGATGCAGCTGCTGCTTCCATCTCATTAGCACGCTCCGACCACCAGGCTTCTCGGTCCTTACGCAAGCTTTGCCCAATTTCATTACGTAACAGCCTTCGTTTGTGGTCAAACTCACGGTCACCCGGAGTAGACCGACGGACTTCGATCAGTTGTAAGGAGCCAGAAGAGACCCAGTGCTTGTAAGCGGGACGTTTCGCGAAGCCGCAAGCGGCTTTACTCGCCATTTTCATGGCGTCGTGAAGATGCAACCAATGCTCACCTATACTTTTCGGTGGGATGGTAGCTAGCCTAGAGGCTAGCTCCGCTCGATACTTACTTGCAACAGGAGTTGCAGCCAGTTTACTAATATCAATCCGTTGGTGGTGGTCAATCCTTCGGCCACTGAAAAGTAAGGTGAGATTGGCGCAGACCAGGGCATGATCAGACTCCAGATAGGTACTCCAAAAGGAGCGGCAGTCTTGTACACAACCACGCCAGCGGTAGCTGATCGCGATGTGATCAATCTGAGTCCAGGCTTGGGATGCAGAGGGAGGACGCCAGGTGGCACACCGGCGATGACTGTACCGGAAGTTGGTGCTGGCCAGAAACAGGTTGTGGTCTGTGCACAGTTGCAGCAAACGGTCCCCGTTATCTGTCCTGCGACCAACAAGTCCCCATCGGCCACCTAGACGACTCTCTTCTGTGCCTAGACGCCCGACCTGAGCATTAAAGTCTCCGGCTAGTACTACAATATCTGTCGAACGCGCTTTCTGGAGAAGAACTGTTAACTGATGGTAAAACTCATCCTTGATTGCATCCGGGCTGCAATCTGTCGGAGCATAGGCGGAGATGACGAAAAGACACCGTTTCTTCTCACTTTGATGGAACTTTCTAATCTAACAGCACATAACCGACTGTTAATGGGGATCCAATCGATTAGTGCTGCCTCAGCCCTAGCGCTTAGTGCGACACCAACGCCAGCAAGACCAGACGAAGATGCCACAGGGTCCCCGGATAAGCGCACGTGGAACAAGCTTTTCGAGGCGACAGATGGAGAGCGGATTTGTAGTACTTCACTAGAGTCTTGAATACGGGTCTCGGATAGACAACAAACGTCAACATTAAGACCTTCCAAAGACATAGCCAGCCCTATCTGTTGTCTGATCTGCATTAGTGTGCGAACGTTGAAGGAAGCCAGCTTGAACGGCGTACGTGGTTTCAGAAAGACTGCCTCAGTATTCATAATCGGTGGAAGCATTCACTTTCAACCAGACAGTGACTGGAGATCGTTTAGATAGGACAGATTTTCCACCAAGAGCGAGCTGCTGCATAAGTTGAAGAGTAAGGTTACACAAATTGGGGATAAAAGGGGGTGAATTAGCGATATGGTAAGTAATAATAACAATAATAATAATAATAATAATAATAATAATAATAATAATAATGTAAATTGTCTTGCTTATAATATGAGCAGGAATAGAATCGTCAACAGAGTTCATCATTTCATTCATTTGTGTGTGGGCTGTGATACTGCCCGGGTGCCCAAACCGAAGCAGGTGGTTTTCTTAGGGGACCACACCCCGAGCCTTTGACCTAAAGGTCTGATCCACAAGGCAGTGGAGCATCGTGA